AAAATACTAATTACTATCACGGATTTTATGTTAATACTCTTACATAGATTCTAGTCAAATACTAAATAATATCACGGATTTTATGTTAATACTCTTACATAGATTCTAGTCAAATACTAAATAATATCACGGATTTTATGTTAATACTCTTACATAGATTCTAGTCAAATACTAAATAATATCACGGATTTTATGTTCATACTCTTACATAGATTCTAGTCAAATACTAAATAATATCACGGATTTTATGTTAATACTCTTACATAGATTCTAGTAAAATACTAAATAATATCACGGATGTTAAGTTAATACTCTTACATAGATTCTAGTCAAATACTAATTAATATCACGGATTTTATGTTAATACTCTTACATAGATTGTAGTCAAATACTAAATAATATCACGGATTTTATGTTCATACTCTTACATAGATTCTAGTCAAATACTAAATATCACGGATTTTATGTTAATGCTCTTACATAGATTCTAATCAAATACTAAATAATATCACGGATTTTGTTAATACTCTTACATAGATTCTAGTCAAATACTAAATAATATCACGGATTTTATGTTAATGCTCTTACATAGATTCTAGTAAAATACTAAATAATATCACGGATTTTATGTTAATGCTCTTACATAGATTCTAGTAAAATACTAAATAATATCACGGATTTTATGTTAATGCTCTTACATAGATCACGGATTTTATGTTAATACTCTTACATAGATTCTAGTCAAATATTAAATAATATCACGGATTTTATGTTAATACTCTTACATAGATTGTAGTCAAATACTAAATAATATCACGGATGTTAAGTTAATACTCTTACATAGATTCTAGTCAAATACTAATTAATATCACGGATTTTATGTTAATACTCTTACATAGATTCTAGTCAAATACTAAATAATATCACAGATTTTATGTTAATGCTCTTACATAGATTGTAGTCAAATACTAAATAATATCACGGATTTTATGTTAATGCTCTTACATAGATTCTAGTCAAATACTAAATAATATCACGGATTTTATGTTAATGCTCTTACATAGATTCTAGTCAAATACTAATTAATATCACGGATTTTATGTTAATACTCTTACAAAAATTGTAGTCAAATACTAAATAATATCACGGATGTTATGTTAATACTCTTACATACATTCTAGTCAAATACTAAATAATATCACGGATTTTTCAGGCTCTTGATAATGCGGGGAATGTGTCATACTTAGAAATAAAAGTAGAAGTTTAGTTATGTTTCCAGAAAATTTAATCTGAAAACGTATATAGAACCTTCTCTTTGACAGTGTATTTTGTGTCTAATAAGGATAGCGACAATAATTTTTTACCGATTTTTATAACGGATTCTTTTAAATGTTCTGTTTCATTTGATAAAATAAAAATATTATTCCACAAAGTTGTCTGTTTATTTGCTTAAAACCAAATTGATTTCTCAAAATGAATTTTTTCCTCCATTTTGAATGAAAAATTTATGGTATGAGAGTTCTTATTTAATATTAACAGTCTTATTGTTAGTTTAAAGAACATTTAATAAACGAGGATTGATTAAGTAGAGAAATCAGAATATATATCAATATCCTAGTCATTTATGTTTTTATTTCCGTAAAACTTCGTCGTTATTGTAACGTAGTAAGGGGAAAAGACAAACTTTTGAACTTTAATAAACTATGCATATGACATCATCAAGTGTAGAAAATCGAATGACATTTTATTTAATTTTGAGCAGCAAGAAAAAGATAATTATAACTAGAGTACATGTTGAGTATGTGTTGCTCTTATTCTTTCTCGTGGAATGTCCTCTGCTTATATTAAAATCGACAGGTCCATAGAAACTGTTTATAAGTAAAGACGAGTTACTTTATTTAATAAAGGTATTCAGAATGATAACTTACAATTTGTCTTCCAGTAATGCACGTACTACAACCCATGGAACAACAAACAGAATCGGGAGAGCTACAAAACAATGCTCAATGAGAAAACTTTATGAATAACATAAGAATTCACAACAACTGTTAGGAGTTATTCAAGGTTGAAATAGTTAGAAATATAGTTCATACTTTAACTTGTGCGTTTTAAGAAATGGCTAAGAATACGTTATTTTCACATTATTATGAAATTCAGGCTTTTTAAATTAATAATAACCTAAAAACAACAACAAGAAACACAACCATCAGCAGTGAGTTGTAACAGTTTGTTGACACAGAAAGTGCTCTAATTTGGTTTCCAGAAGCATAAAAAAGTTAAAACAAGGGTTATAAACATTCTTTCTAGACTGAAAACAACTGAAAACATATTTCGTGTAAGAATTATTTCAATTTCATATCTTAGAAAAAGGACGTTCTAAAGCAGTAACATTCAAAGTATTTACTTACTCCAGCCCATAATAACGTAGCGGAAAATGCTGCTGGAGTCAGTGAACATGGCCAAAAATATAAGATTGTGAAGATATAATCCTTCCATGAGAATCCAACAGTAGTTCGCCGTCAAAAAATAGTGCCAGAAACTTATGAAAATTTTGCAGTCTATGTTCTGTAATAAATAAATGAGTCCCATTGTTACGATGTGTGTCTTACAGTTTGCAGAAGCAATTCCTTGGCAGTTCTGTAAAAATAACTATAACCAGTAAAAGAACAACTCAAGGTTAGTTGGTGAACAAAGGTGGAAGAGATATTAGAGAGAGGGGTGATGGTTCGAGGCTTTCTAAAAATTCCAGAACATTTTGATAGGAATGAAACGGTTTCTTTTAATATTTACCCATTAGTATTGACTTTATGCTTTGCAACAACAATTAAAACGTAATTTATTTTCTGATTTATATGGCAACAAGGTAGGATCTTAGGTAAACGAGTATCGTAATCTATGTATCAAAAATATTTTTGGTATTGCCATTTCTACATCATTTACATTTACAAAATGTTTGTATTACTTGTTTTATGGCGTTTTTATTTTTCCTGGCTGAAAGTTAGTGTGTGTAATTAAATATAATATTATATTTAATATTATTTTTACTCCGTCATTTCATACATAATAGAGAGGTTGGCTCCCTAAGGACACTGATTGCATAGCGTACAAAGCATTGAGTATTCTATATGTTACAGTCATTTAATGTTCATCTGTTATTGGCTGATAATTCCCATTTCATCCTGTATTTAAGCTATTGAAAAGAACAAAAGATTTCTGTAAAAAGGATAACTTCAAGGAGTAAAGATAACATTGTTTACACTAGCATTATGATGTTTTTTTAACTACTACTAGTTACTACGACTAAGCGATGACATCGTTCACTGTCCATAAACACATAGAGTAGATTTAGGTTTAAACTGACGTTAATGATAAAGTAGTTGTAGAGTTATCTCGACTGAAACAAGAAGAAGAAAGATGAAGACTTTGTTGGGTTGGTCACTTTCTGGTTTGGTATCCTAGCGATGGTTCCTTGCCTTGTTTTGGGGCTTGTTGTGTAAAGAAACAAATGAAAGTGAGTGTCAGTTATCTTTTAAAGTAAAACTATCTGTCATTGTTGATTATTTTAGCATGCATATTTGTATTATGCCTATTGAGTAACTTGGCCCTACATATAAAATCTACCAACTCTATAATAACTCCAACAACATTATTAAACTATGTTACCAATATGACATTGGTAATTGATAAGCATTTTTATATTAAATTTAGTTACTTACATTGTAGGACTTAATTTAAACGACTTAATAAATATATTATTTTGCTGTAATGACCGATTTTAAAATTTGAAAAGGATGGGAGAGAATGTTTTACACAGAAATAAAAAGCTTGAATGCAGTAGATCCTCAGCTGACTCGTTAACTTGTTATTCCAATTATCATACATACAAGTGATCTGTATTATTTAAACTGGAGTAAATACCCTTCCACTATAGTTGTCAAGCAACATGGGAAAAGAAGTGTGAAATGCAATTACTTTTAAAGGGCACAGTTTGTAGGATCCTGGTTAATAGATGCTTTAGGGACCAAACATGCACGATTTATTGGCTTTGCAAGAAGAACATTATGAAATGTTATTATAGCATGGCGATTGTCACATAAGCCTGATTAGGTAAATGTAACAGTGGTTGGAAGATCGTCATGAATGAAGGTTACCATGCTTTATGTTAAATTGTGTTCTCACGGAGTGAAACCTAGTTCATATAACCTTACAAGAACTTGTAAATGGCCTACTATAAAGAAACGCACCAGTTGTACTAGAGAAAGGTGGAATCGTATTTTATTATGCTCTGTTCACTGAGTATTTCTAATTTTCTGTCCAACACCATTGTAAATATTTATCTTAGTGAAGTATGTACAGAAACGGAGTCCTATTAAAGAGTCTTTAAAAATAATATTTTTCGCCTTTGTTTAACTTTCAAACAGCAAATAACACGTTTCAGTGCTAGTTTTCTAATTTTTGAATACTGTAAACAATGATAATGAATATTTTTCTTCTTATTGGCACGTCTAATCAGTTCATTATAGCTGAAGATGAAAATTTATAATCCTATGACCAATTTGTAATAATTGAACCTGTAAACATGCCTGTAATGGTGTAAACAGTTGTAAATATGTGGACTGTTTTCTTTCAGGAATACTATTTATATATGATAACTTTCTCACGCTTTTAATCTAAAAAAATAATGTAATTTTAAAAAAAGTTGTTGTTGTTGTGTTCAACACAAAGCTACCCAATGGACTATCTGTACTCTGCCCACCACGGGTATCAAAACCCGATTTTTAGTGTTGCATAACAGCTGGATCATCTCTGAACAAAAAAAGTCTTGAATCTTACTAACATAAGACAAACTGGCGTAGGAAGTGATCTCTTAATATGCGCGAGCTAGCTCTGTATTAGAGTTCTTAATTTCAGAGACGGCGATCCGCAGTCGAATATGTGCGATACCACAATATATTCCGCGCACTTTAAGCTGTGGATGCATGTAAGAGTAACAGTAAATATATTTGCGTTGATAGCAGTTGGTATGGGGCTGCTGTGGATAGTTGGTGGTATGGGGCTGCTGTGGATAGTTGGTGGTATGGGGCTGCTGTGGATGGTAGGTAGTATGGGGCTGCTTTGGATATTAAGTGGTATGGGACTGCTGTGGATGGTAGGTAGTATGGGGCTGCTGTGGATAGTAGTTGTATGGGGCTGCTGTGGATAGTAGTTGTATGGGGCTGCTGACTATCCGCCTTTCATCTGGTCAATAGTTCAAAGTTCTGAAACGAAAAAATATATTCTTATTAGCTTTTGCATAATTACACAATATAAATACCTCCTGATATCGACTTGTTTTCTGATATAAAATGGTCGTTGACTCCTGTAAATAGGGTCTACTAAGAAAAATTGGCATCAGTCTTTTTTTGGTATTGTTAAAACTGGAATGTAGTGCTCTATACCACATCCAACTTCTGTAAAAATCCGCTTTAAAGAAATATTTTAAAATGTAAATTAAATAAACTCACTTTTGTTTTTACATTTTTTCTCGCAGTCTCTGATATACAAAACTAGTTTTCACTCTGATAAGTCTGGCATTAAGAATCCTGTTTAGATCATACAAATGAATTGAATGTCTTTGTAAAAATGTCATCTTTTGGAAAATAATGACAGCGAAGTTGCGAAATAAAATAAAATAAAATTGTAAAATAGGAGCACTACAGGTGGTTGGCAGATCTTTTTCGTCTTTGTATCTCCACTGGAATAAAGAAGGGAAATTTGGACAAATGAAACAGGTAGGTGGGATGTTGTTTGTATTTCATAGTCTATTTTCTGTTGGAAGTCACTAATAAGAAAATTGGTATTGTGCAAATTCAAAGGCTTCTTATGTCCTAGGTGGATCACGTAACTAAATCCAATTTGAAAAACTAACTAACCTCCCAGATGCATTTTTCTATTTTGACAAAAAAAAAAAAATGGTCATGGCTCATAACAAAATCAGAGAGGCTTTCTCGTAAGAAACCAAACAATAGAAACCAGCCTTGAAAGTAATAAACGTTCTTTTGACTGATGTAATGAGAAATATAATAATAAAAGAAATTTCACATCCACAGTGCGTTCTATTTTAAAACTTGATAGCTCCTTATTGCAATATAATAGTGCTACAAAGAAAGATACATTAAACAGTCAATAAGTAAAGATTATGATACATAATTTGGTGTTATTTACATGTAGGATTACACAAATCTATACAGAATTTGGCGTTGTTTACGTAAATGATGGCACAATTTCATTCAGAATTTGGTGTTGTTTACATAAAAGCTAACACAATTCCGTACAGAATTTGTCGTTTTTTACTATAAAGGTAAAAGATATCACAATTCCATACAGAATTTGGTGTGGTTTACGTAAAAGATACTATACTTTCATACAGATTTTGTTGTTCTTTACATGAAGGATAGCACAATTTCAAACAAAATTCCGTGTAGCTTGCATTAAAATGCCACAATTTCATATAGTTTTGGTGTTATTTACATAAATACTTAAATTAACTTCTACTGCAAAGCTCGTTGCTACAAAATGAAGACTCGGCAGGTTTGTTGTGGTTAAAGGTTATTGGCGCCATTTAGCAAAGTGTAAAATGCCGATGAAATAGTGGCTGTCCTATGAATGCTGTTAACATCTTCTGACCAAAATTTGTTTGTTTTATCAGTTTTCGCAATAAGTTATACGAGGGCTGTATGCGTTAGCCTTCCTTAATTTGGAAATGAAGGACTAAGGGGAAGACAGCTAGTTAACACCATCTACAGCCAATTTTTGTCAGACTGAATAGTGGAATTTGACCATCACACTTTTAACGCACCCACGGCCTCAAAGTGCCGAGCACAAACTTATTTTTTAATCTTTTGGCAGTAACGGAACGCGAACCATGGAACCCCAACTCCATAGTCCAGTACGTTAATCACTAGGCTGCATTCGTATCATAATATAAACTAAATAGTTACTAAAAACTAAAAGGGTAAAAGATTGTGACTCAAGTAATGGGTAAGTTTATGTTTTGTGTATTAGCTTTCTTAAATTAATTTATTTATGTTGTTCTACGAAGGGGAAAGTAGTCTGGGGTTCTATTTCCCGCGGAGGACACAGAAGATAGCCTAATGTGATTTTGCTCCAAAACAAACAAACTGAGGGAAAGCAAATTTAGTTGTTTATTTGAATTTATAAGTAATACAAACATAAACCGAAAATATACATTTTTTAGCCGCAGCATAACGGCTCATAGAATGGCTCTGAGTTTTTTTGAAGTACAAACTTTAGCTCATAGCTACATCTTCTCTTGACCAATTTTAGATCTAATTACAGTTATGGACTCAGGAGGTACCCTTTCGATAGATATATTTGACTACGCCCAAGGTCTCGTGGGTTAATTTAATATAATCCTGCCTAAAAGAACTTGAATTTGAGAGTAGGCTGGTAGAGATCCTGAAAAGTAATAACAATGAATCGGGTATAAGCGCGCCCCACGTTAGGTATTGCTGGCGCACAAAAATATAGCTAATAGAAAGGAAAAAAGGCATCATAGATTAGTT